AGAGAGAGAGAGAGAGAGAGAGAGAGAGAGAGAGAGAGAGAAGAACAGTGGGATGATAATCAATGTTGTTTATTTTGCTGCTTGACTCTTTAAGTACTTTCAGCCAGATTATAAGCTTTTGTAGGGGATAATCAGAAGAATGCAGACAATTGCCTTTTGGTGAATCCCAACAAAATTCCCTTGTGAATGCATAAAGATAACAATTTAATGGCGACGCCAATGCTTAATTCCTGATTAGTCTCTGTGCAAACACTGTTAAAATTAACTGGACACTGCACTAATTATTTTATTTACACACTTGCTTTTCTGGTGAAGTCATATCTAGTTGTAGAAATAAAAACATCCCCTGAGAGATTTTCTTCAATACTTGTGCATAAAGTAAAAACAGTTGCTCTTATTTCAACTGCAAAATWGGGGTGCACTGATTGTCATTTTCTGGCCAAGGATCAATCTTTAAAAAGTCCAACACTACCAATTCCGATATTAGCTGACACTGATATTTTTTTTATAACCGACACTGTCAGGCGTTATAAGATCACAATACACCTTCAACGCTTTTATTTTTTTTAAAATCATTGAAAAATACATTTGAAACAATACAAACATGTTTTAACTGGACATGAGATAGTGCTCACAGCAGAGCTAAAAATGACAATGGCTGATTTTTAGACATTTGCAGACATAGATATGATCGTGGATAAGATTGGCTTCTTATGTAAGTATTGTGTCATTGCTACTCTGCAAAAATGTAGGAAATCAGTACAGATTTATTTGTGCACACCATTACAAAAATATTGTTGTTAATAAAAATAGGAAATGTTTTGATTATGTTCTCATACTGTATGCACCGGTTTTAAAGACACCTTTTAAATGTAATAATATGATTCAGTTTCCTTAAGTGCATTGTGTTTTGAAACAACCATAGAATATATTAGATAACATGCATCTGAAATCTGACAGGACTGCATATAACCAGTTTTCCATTGGCTTCCTGAGTCCATCTCCCTAACCTAATGCCTCCGGCAATCTTCTCAGCTCGGATTGGTCACCTGCAGCAAAAAGCATTTGAACAAATGAGATCAGCTCATTGACTAATTAGAGCTGCGCACGGCGGAAGTGGGCTAACTGGGGAGATTAGCACGGACCAAAGAGCTGTTTAACCAAACATTTGATTCATCCAATTTCTTTCCTTTCCTTTTTTTTGTCATTTTATCTTTGTTGCTGTGTTAACAGGATGTTGTTCATAACTATCAGGCTCAGTCTGGTTTAGATATGGGAAAAAAGACAAACATTTGACAGAAATGCGTCACACTAAACCATGTACACAGTGGAAAAGTTAATCTGCACATAGTGACATACGGATTGTTTGCTCTCCATCCACAAAGACAAAAATCAGAAGCAAACCGTTAAACAATTRTTTGAGATGAATGGTTATATTGAAAATCACAAGCTGTAGCTGCTACTAACGTCACTGACAAATATGTTTAGGTTTCTTTTGAAATATTTAAAGTTATTGCACTTTATTTCCATCATCATTCAAGAGTTCTACCACAGCATATACAGTATTTGCTTTAAGGCTGAAGTCAGCAAAGAGGCATGCACCGAACCATTAACAGACTTTCAAATGGTGAACCACATAAAGCTAATGTTGCCCTTAGTAATACACACAGTGCAGCTCAGTCCAACGACTTGCACCATTATAAGGACACCAACATATATAGAAGTGAAAACGTAAACAAGCCCTTGTTCTAATTTTAATCTTTCCACTTAAAGGGATACCCGATTAGTTATATATTAGACTTTATTTGATAAACATTTATTTTAACTGTAAAATAAAGACTGTAAAAATACTGCAGGCTGTTTCGTTTTGTAAATTTTTAAATATACACTCACCGGCCACTTTATTAGGTACACCACGCTAGTAACGGGTTGGACCCCCTTTTGCCTTCAGAAC